ACCCACAAATTCCACACGTAATTCCAAGTCCACCTATATTAATGGAACCCTCTGTAAATGAGACAGATATTTATTTATACCTGTATATCTGAGACACTGGGTAAGCGGAATACCTCTATAAGTGAAACGACATTGCAGGTCCCTTGATGTCACACTTAACCAGGTTTCACTGTACCTAAACCATTTCTAGCCTACATAAAGAAAATGTTTTATATTATCAATATATTTAAAATTATCATTTTATTCTTTTCTAAGAAAAATATATACCTACGTCATTCCTATATCCAAGAATTACATATCTATATACTTCCTACACATACCTACATGCATAATTAGATCAATATTATTTATTAAAACATTCGTTACAATGCTAGCACATCAAGCTACTCTTTACTGTCCAATTCATTATAAATTTTAATCCAAAAACATACAGTTGAAAATCTATTAACAAAATGTAAGAAAAATAGTATTTTGATGTGCCGTCCGTCCTGTAAGTAATACCTAAGTGGCATTTCGTCAATAATTCCTATCAAATCGGCTTTCAATTAATTAATATTCAAACTTCGATGAAGTGACGATAATACAAAGTTAATCTCATGTTACATACATTCGCAATTAGCGTTATCAAATAGTTGTAATTAATAAGAGTCTGTAATTATAACGGCGATGTTATCTATTCTGTTCACATAACATTTATTTTATTGTAAACTAGCTTCTGCCCGCGACTTCGTACGCGCAATCCTGATTTCTCCGGTTCCCGTAGGATTTTCCCGTAGGTTTTTTCTGTCATAAGAACCTTCTCCTGACAATAACAAACACAACAAAAAATTAATCAGCTAAATCTGTCTAGCTGTTCTCAAGATATGGCGTGACAACGGGAAACGGGTTTCATTTTTATATATTTATACTAGCGGACCCAACAGACGTTGTCCTGCATATCCATTTGAATGTATAAACAAAAATTCATTCAAATTAGTTCAGCTGTTTAGGATAAATAACCTAAACATCGACTGCAGCGCCATCTGCCGGGCTGATTTGTGAATCTAAACCATTCCCAGATTCCCTTGAACACATGCACACACATAATTTCATCAAAATCGATCCAGTCGTTTGAGAGAAGTTCAGTGACATACACACTCACAGAAGAATTATATATATAAAAAGATAAATAAGTATTACTATGTCGAACGACGATCCGGGTTTGTCTTAAATCTGCGACCAGGAATAGGCAACAGCATCCTCAGTGATCCAGTTGCTATCTCTAAGCCATTTGCCAAGCTTGGGGATTCGAGTATATTCCCCTCTTAAAAGAGAGATTTTTGATCACCAGTTGATGTATTTCGCCTGATGATGATGGTGAAATATTATGTGATATTGTCATCTTTAAATTACAAAGTAATCACTTCCCTGTGAATTTTACTTTCTGTACTGTGCCTAACAGTTATAGTTTGATGGTAATTAGTTTATAATTGGCTTCAAACATATCAGGGCTATCAGGTCCAAAAAAATTTTTCCAAATCGGACCAGCCGTTTCCAATATTAGCGCATTCAAACAAACGAATAACATTTTATCTTTTTGTCAGCTTGTACTCGATGTACCGATATTTTTCTTCGGAAATATTAGCTGTCAAAGTTATAAGGAAAACGTGAATATTTTAATGTATTGAAAAACAAATAGTTGTAATCTTTATACGATTAGAATACGATAGTTCGGATATTTATTATGATGTGTCATTGTTTCTAGTTAGAGATAAAATAATAAACATTATCTTTTGACATAGAAAAGTAAATAGACGAACTAAAACAATTAGGACCATTTCCACTAAAAAAAAAACTGTTAAACAGCTGTTTCATGTTTTCACTCACAAGAGACCTCACTACCAAACCTCATTACAATCAGCACACCAGTTCAGGCGTTAGACCGACAAAAACTCATTTAAACTTCATAATAATAATCCTCATAGTCACAAATTTCAACAATTTATAAGACCTATTAAAGGTCAAAACGCAAGTCAGTCGACATGTAAGCCCACACGTTAGTCACCTGGACCTCTGCCTACCCCACAAGGCATTGCGAACGACATTCCGCCCAAGATGGCGGTGGCAACATTGTTATAACAAAATGTTACGCACGTGGGCGCTGACAGAAGAACCAATTAATGTTTGCGAATATTAACTGGGTTGGTCCTTTAGTCATAAACTCGCATTAAAACTATGTGATGTAGTTTCAAGACTTTGAAGTCATTAGAGACTCCTCTCTCTCAATTAATTCTCAATAGTAGCACGAAGTCTGGAAAGAAAGAAAGAAAAATGTATTTGTCAGAATGTAGTTACAATCGGTGTTTTATCTTATTTAATGTCTCATACATTCTACCGAAACGGTGTACAAATATTACACTTATTTATGTACTACCCCACAACAATGTTTTTACAATCTTTGTCATAGAGAAAATCTTTAGTTGAGCAGTAGCACTTATTTAACAGAAACTTAAATAATTTTGTTCTGAATGACGTTAAGTTAAGATTTTTTAGGTCATTTGGAAGCCTATTATAAATTTTGATAGCCATACAGTATGAATTTTGACTGTTTAGTGTAGTGCGTTAACTCGGTACAGATAATTTAACCCGGTATATGGCAATAGGCTCACCCCCTAACATGGGGCTCATAACATACTTAAATAGTGACAAATGGGAGTTAAATTGTACAGTGACATCAATTGCCGTAAGCAATATGCACCTCTGCCTACCCGTTCGGGGATATAAGGCGATATGTTATGTATTTTTCTTTAGTGACTACTTGTATTCGGGATCAAATTTCGCAATGAGTGCGTTAAACTCAAACTCAAAAGCATTTATTTCAATTAAACCATAATTTGGTACTTTTGAAACGTCAATAAATATGAAATAAATAATAGTCTGTCAGTCTGTCCGTCAGTGAAGCTAGGCTAGGCTTAATATTTAACATTCCTTTGTCTGTTGAAACACTGGCTCCCAGTATAAAACACATTATACCCAGACAAGAGACAAGCGGCTGCCTCAAGCTACCGATCAATTCCAAACATGTCATAGCTAAATAGTTCCTTCTAACAATGTTGTAACTGTCACCGCAGTAACACCATAATTATGATCTGTGACGACAACTTCATACTCTGACACGTACAACAGCTTATCAAGCTACCCTTAATTACCAAGCATCTCTCATAGACTATCAACCTTAGCATTCAGTGATAAAGATCAAAATGTATTGGTGAAATTCGACAGTAGCTATATGTGCAGCTGACGCTTACCTGTATTGCGTGCTTGTGACACGTGACTCGAAATAGGTGTGAATCTTGAGTTATTTATTCACATTATATTATTATTGAGTATGTGAATACAAGTACGAAGTTTTTACGACTCAATAAGTCTTTTCGGAATAAGAATATGCTAAGAGTTTTAACTTTTAACACTGTCTTTAAAGGATACATTGAAGTTTACATTGTGTACTCGTCAAATTAGTCCATTATAAAAGGAGGGTTGCTACAATCTAACGAGCAGACGGATCACCTGATGGTAAGCGTACAGCGCTGACCATGGACATCCAAAACACTAGAGGAGGTTGAGTCAGAAGTCGCAGTTTTATAAGATTCAGATTTATTAGCACTGCTGTCCGATCTCTGTCAAATATGTAGCCTTAGCCGGCTTATATAAAACCTGCGAGCAGATTAGGAGTGATCTACCTACAAATGCATTTGACACTGTCATCACCACACGGCTACAACAACTACATAACATACCATCACGCTTTTTATCCTCGAAGGGACAGGCAGAGATACACATTACGGCACTTAATGCCACTGTACAATGTATCACCCACTTTCATTATTTATGTTATGAATCCCATGTAATAGGGGGTGAGCCTATTGTCATATACCGGGCACAATTCCAGACTCCGTGCTGCTACTGAGATTTTTTGTTTTTAAAAACACTGTAATACATTGCCCAAACCGGGAACCTGAAACCCCTTTCCCAGCAGTCGCACTTGACCACTTGGCCAATGTAGCAGTCACAACAACAAATATTACAATTATTATTCTCTTTTAAGAATATTCTTGTAGATATCACAGGCATTTCTTTCTTTCCGTCCGAGTCACGTACGTAAACACCTGTTTGGTTTCCTATCAGACGCATTGGTTACACGTGACCAAGTGAAAATGAGCGAAAAGATAACCGGTATTGAAGTTTTCAAAGCAAGTATGTCGATTGCCTATTGTTTTATATAAAGTTTATCTGATGTCGTATATTTTCTTTCTTTATTGTTGATTTTGTTTTTGTAGTTCGGGACTTCTAATCTTTAGGAGATAATATTTATTTTAGTAGGCAATATGTTTTCTAATGTAGTTACAATACTTGTAATAAGATTGTAAGTACCACGTGTATGCCTATCACTGTATGCTTAAATAAACATCATGCTAAAACTACTGTATGGATCTTGATAGTATTTGCTACGGTGAGATTGTAGTCTCTGTTTTCTAGAAAATTGTTATAAAATAAAACGTAAGTCGACAAAGTTTCGCGGAAGAGGGAAGTCCTCGGCACGACCGCGCTTGACCATAAACGGCAACGGATACAGCCGAGTATGGGCAGAATTATTAACTTAATCTAACTGTTATTATCTCCTAAACATGGTCATTGTAAATTAGACGCTGTTTTTATCGCCCAAAGGGCTATGAATGAGAATGTCCGTCTCGTTACCTTTAATTATACAGTTGAATAAATACCACCCATTAACTAGGTGTCATAATATTTTTCTAAAAGGTATGACAGCTATAATCTGGTCTAGATCCAGTTACGATCGCTAAATGGCTGTTGACAATTATGGGTTAATGTTTGCATTGTAAATTTTTACCGGTATTGCACAAACATGTTCAATTTGATAAGAAGAATTTACTCAAGTTGTTGCCTCCTCTATTAAAATAATATTGTTCCAATTTCTCAAATATTATTCTCTCTCTTTCCAGAGCGTCTCGACCAAGACGATGGCTGTCACATGGATAAGAACGAACGAGTGGACGACCATGTGAGCCTCAACACTGGTCTTCGTAAGACTGACTTCTCAGACACCTTCTACGGAGGCAGGAAGCCCAGCTCCATAGAAGAAAAGTCGAATAGAAGCAGTCCCGACCGCGCAGTCGTCACTGAAAACAACGATTCTCCCAGCAAGAGCCTCCGGGTCACTCGGGAAGCTTCTCAGTCACCCACAAAGACGATTAGAAGCCGACAGGCCAGTCGGATACCACACTCTCCCGTTAGGAACCGAACTCCCAGCCGAGGAAATACACCCAGCCCCAAACATACCGCAAACCCAGTTCAGACATCCCCTAAGCTGACACCAAAATTGCCGCCAACTGCCAGAAATACTTGGAGCGGACGCACAGCACCCGTACAGGCTAAAGTAAAGTCCAGGCCAACAATAGGGGCCGACACTTTTGATAATCCGAATAAATCTCCGAAAATGAGAGCCAAAGCTCCTCAAACTGAGGCTTTCAAGAGGAACTCTCCTCTCAGAGCCAGCAGCGCTACTCTTAGGTCCCCACCGAATCAAAAACCATTGAGTCCTTTATTAGAACAGATCTTAAGGTCGACAGAGAGCGCGAAGGATGACGCAACAGTTCTAGAAAAAATGAAGGAAATTATTAGGACATATTCAAAGGGAGACGACTCCCTTTCTAGGACTAGTTCCAAGGACTCGGACTATGCGGACTTTACATCAGCCTGGGTAATGTCTGATGGCAAATTAGAAAGGTCGACTAGCACTAGGCAGTTGGCTGCTCCTAGGAAAGACCAAAGGAATGGAGCGTCCAGGATACCGGCGCCAGTCTCCATTGGCTGCAGAAGGTCTACATCCACGTCACAATTCCAATGACAGGAATCAGGAGATAGTGTGGACACACTAACCAGTGACAATTGAACTATTTATGCTAGTGTTTAGTTTGTGGAGATAGGTCAAAACAAATTGTTGGTTCGTGAAGAAAGGCGCCGTAATGGCTTCGAGTGTGATATTTTGTGACGGGGAAATGTATAGACTTTAGTATCGCATATCTTTGTGTATGTAGCGATAAGGGGTAGGATTATAAAATGGATTAGACATTGCAGCCGGTCTCGAGCCACCTAGATAGTCTGACAGAGTTGCTTACAACTATAGGTTGTAGAAGATTGTGTAAGACTAGGCGGGCATCGTACGAGCTGGCTTCCACACGGCTTCGACTTACTGACTAGCAGTCAATCTGTCCAAAACGTGGATTACACCACGCGTTAGCTAGATCCTTAGTTAACTCGGTGTAATCCGTAAAATGACGATTATAGAATTGTAACTATAGTTTAGTACTAATTGTCGATTAGAAAATTCGTACTAACAAGTTTTAACAAATTAAATGGTACCTAACATCAGCCATTTTGAATTTATCAGATTTTCCATCAATTTGCTTATGAACCGACTTTTAAAGAATGGTGTTGCGAGTATGAATTATTTACAGTATATGCAAAGATCGGCGATAAAAAATTTCGTGGATTTATTACAATGGCCTGAACTGTCTTCGAAAATGTGAAATACAGCACTCTATTCATATTAAAAGTCGGTTAAATATGGTGCTAAGCAATAAAATGTTAGCTTTTGTTGTTTAGTTATTGTTAATTTAATTATTTTGGCTAATTGCGATCACAAGCGATTTACAATGTTTAGCCTTAAGTTAGTTAAGTAGTAGCAAAACTTGGTCTACATATATATTTTTTTCACAGTTTGGATCAAAGTTTCCCCATAATCAGTATATAGAAAACATTAGATTGATAATAATAATTATATATAATATTAATAATTGGGTGTAATAATGGTAAACATTGGCAAAATCGTTTATCACAGACTTCTTCTAACAACCCCTTTCTAAAAATTGCTATTAATAATAATAAAAAAGAAAATTATTAATAGAAATAATTAGAACAGTACTCAGGTACGTTTTATTTTACAAAATGACAAGTTTTAGTTCTTAAGTAAGTAATTTTTAAGATTTAGATTTTACTTTTTTTTGTAAACCCGGTAACTTATACATACTAATGAAACAAATGAAAAAATTATAATTAATAAATATAATTCGAAATTAAAAATTATGCATTTAACGAAAATATCATTCCAATATTTCGTAAAGCCGGGATATACAGCAATTATTTGTTTAAAAGTAATCTCATTTTTTATAGGTTGTGAGGGGTAGAGCTTATACAATCTGTAGCGTTTTGTTAATAAAAAAATAGCTAAACACGTAGCGTTTTATAAAAAAAAAATTAAAGGTAATATGACAAAAAAAAAACAATAAAAAATACGACAGGAACATCCATTTTCATACCTCATTATAGTATACTTGAAAAAAAGAGATATTTTTGCACCAATCTTTACGGATAGCACTACTAGATGTCACTAGTTGCCATACAACCGTCCGTTTCAAAGTGTAGTAAAGGCATAGCTGTAAATTGGCATCGATATTTAGGCCACAATTTTTATAGAATTACCATCTATTAAGAACTAAAAGTTGTGGCTAAAATAATAAAAAAAATATTACTTCCATCGTTGTCATAGATAATTTAATATTAATTAAATTAATGATTGAAGTAATTATAAGTAAGATTATAAGATTTCTATCATAAGGTCTTGTGTCAGACCCTTATTAAGATGTCACAAATGTCAGTTCTATGTTATTAAAGCTATGCTTAAGTTAAATGTCAAGGTTACACGCAACAGATCACTTTTGTCGCAAATTATACAATATTTTTACATATACTGTGCTGTAATATAAGTTTATAATTTATAATTATAATTATAAAACCTACAAGCTGATTATAAAGCTCAAACCTTCAATAAAAATGTCATCTGTTTACTACAAATAATAAATAAATATGTTTCTAATATTTTTTTGGTTTTATTTTATACTTCAATCATTTTATAAAAATTTATTTGAATTAAAATTATTTAGTAAACAGATGACTCACAATGGACGTTTTAAATCAGTAGTTTATATAAACATAATAAATATTATCTAATTACAAATATATCAAGGAAGAAAATCCATTAAAATATACAATTTATTTGCAGACATTTTTATACTATCATAAAAAAATACATCAAAAAATCGCAAAACATGGGCTTCAAATTTTTTATATGTTTATTTTTTTATGAAAGTATAAATATGTTAGAGGCTAGAGGCTAAGATTTTCGTTAGTATACATAATTTCTTCGACGTAACGTTACCAGTGACTATGCCATAGAAATCTGTTATTATTCACAGAATAAACCATAAGTTTATCTTACATTTACTTATTATTTTTTATTTATTTAATCAACTCCCTTTCGAACTCCAACTTACTTTCTACATGGGAAAATGTTACATTGCCTGTATCCGTTCTAACAATAAGTCTACTATGATGCATAAGTATGAGACCGCCATTATAAGTTTGCTAACCTTATATCATTGGATATTCAATTTTTACAACTGCTGCAGCTACAGTACTCTGCCTTGACTCGTTGGCCGAGTGATCGCAAGTGCGACTGCCAGGCTAGGGATCTCGGGTTCGATTCCCGGGTCGGGTAAAGTATTACTGAGTTTTTTAAAAAAATCTCAGTGGTACCACACGGAGTCTACAATTGTGCCCGGTATATGGGAATAGGCTCACCCTATTACATGGTACTCATAACATAAATAGTGAAAAGTGGGTGTTACATTGTGCAGTGGCAATAAGTGCCGTTATGTCCACCTCTGTCAACCTCTTCGAGAATAATAGGCATGCTGTTATAATGCAGCTACAGTGATTAAGCAAACAGACTTTACGTACTTCAGCGCCATCTGGTGAGAGACAAGACGGTGCACTCATTCTACTTACTTATACTGGAAAGAGGTAAACAGTAAAGAAGTAAAACCTACGTTTAGACCTTAAGCACCTATAACTTTTAACCACATTCAAAGAAGAAAAAATATTCTGCCAACCGACGGACGTCTGTCACCTCATCCCGTCAGTTCAGCCATCAGCTCAGGGCCAAAGGCGTCAGTCGAAATTCATCGTGACCAGATGATTCCATAAATAGTCCAGATGATTCCCATGTTCACATCTGCCATTCTTGTCGTACATTGTTGGCAAACCGTGTTTTTCCTCATCGTATTGTTTGCCGCATTCCTGTCACTGCGGGAACTGCTCAGGGTCACCAGACGGGGCAGAGGGTGCATGTAAGTCCTACCTTCCATGTTTGTGAACCAGTTGACATTGTATCCTACAGACTCCAAAGTCTGTAGGATGTTTAGAGAGAACAACGAGAACAATGAGGCGATCATAGAAATTAGAGGCTACATTGACAATCATAGCAATTGGTGTTCCATAGTCTGCCGATCTCCATAGGAGACAGACGGGAGGATATGAATTATTGAAATGATTTGGAAAGTATTCTTTATTTAAGGCTGTTCGCATTAGTTTTCTTGGCTGAATTAGGTACTTCTTAGTTTGAACGAGTGACGTGTTATTTAGCTTTTGCTAGGATGGCTTGGTATCTTAGATCGCGCTTGCAAGAAATGTATGGCCTTTACTCCGAAAAGATGAAGGGAAATATAATAAAGCCATCCCACTGAGAAGGGCAACTCATAAAAAATTGTAACCATGCAGATAGGTAGCTAGATCTCCGTAAAGAAATCGTTATATAGGAAGGAACCAATAGCTCCATTATATATTAGATATTACCGACAGATTTATATCATCTTGTCTTTCAAAAGTTACTTCTTCAATTCAATTACAAATCAACTTTATGCCCTTAACTTGAAGCTTCATTTTGTCTTTCAGCTCCAATAGTGCAGATTAAGAATGAGCCAGGAAGGCAGTTCCCTCTCATTATACATATTAGCGCATTTCTGGGAAACAATTTGTTTTTTGATAATAATATTTGCGTTCTTTATCTCTCTTTGGGAGCTGCTCCACGTTACAAGACCTAGACCCACCCTCAACCGAGGTTGCTGGTAAGATTTTAAAAATACTAGCACTTTTATATAATACTAGCCCGCGACTTTGTCCGCATAGAATATGGTTCCTGCTTTATCCCTTAGGGGTAGGCTACCCCTAACATTTAAGGGAATGAAAAATAGATGTTGGCCGATTCTCATAGATACCGTATAAGCAGAAAAAAAATCATCAAAATCGGTCAAGCCGTTTCGGAGTAATATGGCAACAAAAACTGTGACACGGGAATTTTATATATAATACATACAAACATAACTTCACGCCTTTTATCCTCGAAGGGGTAGGCAGAGGTGCACATTACAACACTTAATGCCACTGTACAATGTAACACCCACTTTTCACTATTTATGTTATGAGTCCCATGTAATAGGGGGTGAGCCTATTGCCATATACCGGGCACATTTCCAGACTCCGTGCTACAACTGAGATTTTTTTGAAAAACCCAGTAATACTTTGCCCGACCCGGGAATCGAACCCGAGACCCTTTGCCTGACAGTCGCACTTGCGACCACTCGGCCAACGAGGCAGTTTATATATAATATGTACTAGTAATTCAAACGACTGCCTCGCTGGCCGATTGGTCGCAAGTACGACGGTCGGTACTACAGTTTTTAAAAAAATCTCAGTGTCAGTAGTAGCACGGTGTCTGGAATTGTGCCCGGTATATGGCAATAGGTTCACCCCCTATTACATGGGATTCATAACATAAATAGTGAAAAGTGGGTGTTACATTGTACAGTGGCATTATGAGCCAGCCGTAAGGTGCACCTCTGCCGACCCCTTCAGGGATAAAGCTAAGCTCCAGTAAGAATATATTGTTCAATCAACTAGATTATTTAGTATGCAGGTAAGAATATACTGATCAGAGAAAGAGAGAGACGAAAGGGGAAAAGAGAGATATATATATATATATATAGAGTGCAGCTTTTGTTGTAATACAAGTTGTGTTATTTTTAATGTCTCTGGTCTGAATTAATCTTTTTAACCGATTTTTTTTCTTCCTTGCATACTAAATACTTTGCCTGACCTAATCAATATTAACATATTTCTATCACAGTAAATCGTCGCCTGTTTCCAATTGAATACAGTGAAATTTATTTCTTTCCAGATTTTATAAAATGGAGTACGATGCTCTTATTCTTGGACTTATAATATATCTGCTCTTGGTCGGGATATGTTAGTAGGATTATAATATTATCTAATAATTTACAGTTACATAAAGAAAATATACATATTTTTTAAAGTATAGAAATATTTTGGACTAGCAAATAAGTTAAGACGCTAAGTAATTAATTATTGAGTAGCCTGCCATCTATCGTCAAGTAATTAAACTAAACATTTTTTCAGTGATTATTATAAACGAAGCCTTCTGCAAGGCGCGTTGTATGAAGAACGCGCAAATTGTACAGATGGAGAGAGAGATGCAAGATGTGGAACTGAACGAACGCCAACCTTCCAAAATAGGCAGGGAACCCATCATACACCAACCAATAAAATCCTCCCATCATCAACGTTTCCATTAACACGTCATAGATGGCGCATAGCTCACAGACCGATGTATTTCTGGCCACAAGAAGATTTGTTAATACTAATGTTCCAACAAGCTCGAATAAATCTAATGATAAATACTGGGACTGACGTCAAGTAAAACATGGCATATTTTTTATTAAATTATTTTTACTTATACATAGTTTTTTATAATTAAATTTACCTACTTACTCTTATAACTATTTTATAATTATTTTACACTTATACTAACGAAGTCTAATTAAAGCAGCTTCAATAAATACAACAAATACCAATGTGTGTTATTTGTGTCCCTCGCTTATGAAATGATATTTAAATAAACTAAGTATTGCAGATAGCAATTATTAATGGGCTAAATCAATCGCCGGTCTTAACCAGAACTATCTAGATCAATCTTGATTTATTTTTCATGTCAGAAGTTGTATAAAACATAAATTATGTCAAAAATTTTTTTTCTTTTTTATTTACAGGGTTTTTCACAAGAATTAATGTCAAAAATTATTGATCACAAGGTCATGGCATCCCTAATAGGCACCGCTCCGGCAGGGTTCAATGAACTTGTCATTTAAATATGTACTTTAAATCGTATGTCGTTTCATAACGTTAATATTAAAAAGTTGTAACCTTTTTGTATTATGTGCTGAAATCGTGCCGGAGTCGTGCTTATTAAGTGTGTTTTAGTTAGAAGGTTTTGAAAGGCGATCAGTTATCAATTTCGGCCCTAAGTCTTGCCACTCTTACAGACTAATCTTCGAGGAATATTTTGTTCATTGGCACCCTGTCGAATATCTCATTGGTGACATTCTGGAATACAGAACTGAGTGATTTTTCATAAGACTCCTTCAGTTCATTGAAGACTAGGTCCGAGTTTGAGTTCAGGAATCTGAAAAGTAGAAATAGATTTATTTTAGTAAGTATTTTGCATAAGCACTAATATGGGATATTAAACAAGATAATCAAGTGGCCGCAAGTGCGACTGCCGAGCTCGGGTTGTTTGCCGGGACGGGCAAAACACTAGAGGTTTTTAAAAAAAAATCTCAGTAGTAGCTCAGAGTCTGGAATTGTGCCCGGTATATGGCAATAGGCTCACCCCCTATTACATGGGACACATAACATAAACAGTGAAAAGTGGGTGTTACATTGTACAGTGGCATTACGTGCCGTAATGTGTCTACCCCTTCGAAAATAACCTAGCTTACACCCCTGCCCTGAAGGTCCAAGTGATGGTACACATTTACAATGCGAAATTAAATTTTTACCAGTTATGATATATTAAGTTTTTTTATGAATTATTCGGTAAATGAGCAGACAGATCACCTGATATAAAGTCACCGGCTTGAACAATAAATTTGAACAACAAAAACAAGTCAAAGGTTTGAACAATAATCAATACACTTGCTCAATGCGGGTTGGCGATTTCAAACTTATAATTAGACGTTATAAAGCCCAGCTTCCTTCGCCGTTTGTCAGTAGAGTCTAAATAATCTTATACTGATACTCACTCGTTCATATTATCACCGAGCACCTTGTCTCCGTTGAAGAGGTTGGAGAAGTACAGCACGACCTTCTGCGGGATGAACTTGACTCTGTATTCTTTGATGTGCATGTATGTCTGTCCATCCTTGACTACTGGCTCACCAATCAGATCGTGTTTCACCACCAGGTTCACTGTAAAATTAGGTTTCGGAAGAAGTAAAATTTGTTGGTTGATAGCTAAGCAGAAGTTGGTTGCTGACTTGGATGTATCATGGATCTGATTCGACCCTTCGATAAGAAACTAATATTACCATTATTAGGTACCTACTATGGCGTGAATAAACTGTCAATAAAGAACTTATAGTATTTTAATATTAACTTACATAACTGAGAATAGCCATATAGGCATGTAAAGTAAAAGCCATGACATATAAAAATTATCTAAGTACTTGAGCTTGTTAGCGTAAATTTTAAGTCTTAATTAAGTTTGAAGGAATAGTTCTGAGAAGCTAAATAAAATAAATTAATTTCTATATAACCGTTAAACATAATTTATAATATTTCTCAAACTTTAAAATTCGTATCAACACTAGTGACCAGAGGGCAGTATCATGTAGTTCCACTACTCGCTACTAGATGGCGTTGCTTACCCATTGTAATGTTCGCGACACCTTTTCCTTGGATAGGGAGTAGTAGGATCCTGCCCCTCATGATGTAGTCAGCTATGAACTCCATCTTAGGAGTGATGGAGTCAGTCCTCAGTCTGTAGTTTTTGAGATCAGCCCTGAAAAATTGAAAATAGCATACGTAATATTGAGTTGTATCTAAGTAGATACTAATTTAAGTATGTTAGTAGGAACGAACTTTTAGTTTGTCAATTCTTTATATCACTTCCTAACGATAATTTTCATAATGGATTGTTTTTGCGGGAATAGAACCTGCGACACTTTGTATAGAAACCACGCGACTAGCCATTGCACTAATCATGCAGTCAATTAGATGGTGAGACCCCTCACGATTGCACTGGGCGACAGGCTTTAGACTTAGAGCTACGTGTCGTTGTTTCGGAACTATCTTTATAATACATTCATGATGGAGCGAAAAACTATAAATCGAGGGGTAACGGGCTATTTGGTTTAAGCGACATTTTTGCAACTTTACAGGAGAGCCTTTTAAAGTTTGAAATTTCGAAAAAAAATTCGTAACAAAAACGCTTCTGCAGTTATTTGAACGGGGTAAATTGCATTGAAATTTAAATTAAATTATCTAGTTGCTGATGCTAATTCTAAATAAAGCGGACCTTTAATTACAAAGATAAATGTCGCTTAATACAATCTGCCCTTTTTTAGAGTCAGGAAAAATGATTTAAGTGACTTCATAACTACAATTGGCTACAAGGGAAAAAAATTAAGCGACAATGCACTCTATTTACTGAGTAAGCTAAAAAATATGAAGTGACGAAACCCAAAATTAATAGAAGCAAGCTATTTATCTTAACTACCAATTCAGACTAAAATGAGTGACAGGCTAATTTACTTATGTTACATATAACATTGAAATTATAACGTTTAATGTTTATGTTTATTTACATCTAAGGCGATTAATGGCTGATAAAACAACCTGGATCTATCGCAATCTCCGAAAATCTCAGATGCTTACATTGAATAAATAAACACAACACAATATCAAAGTATTTATTTAGAGTAATAATTACAGTTTCAATAGGAATATTGATTATATTTCATGGGTCATTTACTGAAATTGCCGTTTTGTATGAAAAAATTTAAACGATTTTTTCATGTATTTTTTATTTGTATAATCAACGTAATCACCCATGCAATCAATGCATCGTTGCCAACGCAGTGGCAGTTTATTGATGCCCTTCTTCAATCAGCTGGACGGGTAGCAACAAATTCTTCAAATGCATTTTGTACTGCCTCTCGGTTATTAAATTTTTTCCCGCCAAAAAGTTATCCAAATTCTGGAAAAAGAAGTAGTCTGGTGACTGGTGAGCAGGGTGGATGTCGGAGAGCTTCACAACCCCAGTTCTTGTAACGTGGAGGCCGTCTCTTATGCAGCTTTAGGTCGCGCGTTGTAATGCAGGAGCAATGGAGATTAGCGATTGACCAGTGCTGGTTGGAGATGTGTCAGCTTCTCCATTATTGTGTTCAGTTCTTCACACTACACATCCGTAGTAATGCTCACTCCGTTTGGTAAGAATTTGTGTTGAATCAGAATAGCGCGAGCGCTAGACCATCAGTGACCATCACTTTTCTAGGGGTAAGTTTTCGTTTAGGGCATTGTTTTGGTGCTGAACTAGGATTCAACCAACATGCTAAACGCGTGTGGTTATCACACAGATTTCATTTTTCATCGGAGGTGACAATGCAAATCAAAATTCTTTCATTTGTGTCTATATTGAGCAGTGCAGTGCAAGGCACTACTCGATGCATTTTTTTTAAGGGTGGAAAATCATCGAATGACTGCTCCCGCCTGGGTGAGGCGGGAAAGAGTGTCAGACTCTTACTGACTAAAAATCACCCCGTTTCTTCTCATGCACGTCGAGCCGGAGCCCCAGTTACCCGTTAGGTTCTCCGCGACTCCGAATCGGCATCGACTCTGTTGGGCCCCATCTGTGGTGGTCTGATGGCTCTTTGAGGCGCGCGCGGAACGCGACGCGCCGTACGCTCGGGTCTGTTTCTGGTCGGACGGGGAGCCACCCATGCTCACCGTCCGCAGGCCCGCGCTTACGGTAACTGGAGATCGTCCCGCGATCCCCGACGCCAGGTGTGTCCTTCGCGATGGCTGGGTTGTGAGGAGGCAGCGCTTCGCTGCCTCACGCGTCCCGCCTCCTCCTTAGCTAGCATAACTGCTTCGCAAAAGGAGGAGACGGCATCCCAGTCCCCCTCGCACTGCTCGATGCATACTTAGCTCTGTTGATCATTTAGTTTGTGGGACACCCACTTATCAAGCTTTTTTACCTTGCCAATTTGACGCAAATGTACCAATATTGTTTTGACGCTAACGTCGAAAGCTGTTGCTAAATCAGCCGTAGATTGTATGTCATCAAAGTCATTGTTGCCAAAGTCTTCGAACGACCGCGAGGTTCATCTTGACTGAAGCGCCAGCGCACGATAGTCCAGTTGGATGATAACGATTTTTAACACCAGGGCGATGAATTAAATATGGTATCATATGACATGATTGAAATGTACCATATTAAAACTTAGTGATTGAAAGACCGACTCGTATTTCTATGAATACTGGAAAAATGTTTCAATATTCATTATCAATGTTATCGTCTGTATAAAACGACATGCATTTAAAAAAAAATGAGGGTTAAATGTTTTAGAAAAATTCGCTGATTCCGAATATATATATAACTCAATATCGCCCAAAATGTCGCTTAAACCAAATAGCCCGTTACCCCTCGAAATGATAATGATTATTATTCTTTAATTACAATTAAATGACTTACTTGTACAACGTCAGCACAGTATCAGTAAGACCATGTAGTTTGATGTTCCTGTACATCTGCGTGATGACGACGGGCCCCGAGCCAGAGTCCACGTTGATGCTGTTCACGTGCAGCGGCTCCATCTGCGGCACTGATAGAGATGGGATACCTGGAAATATAAGTAGGATAGATAGTTAAAAAAATTGTTTGTTGTGACAAGCCCGCCACAACCTTCCAAAACCGCTGCAACTCCTAAAAGCCACTATCTACAGTAGATACAACCATGAAAACACCAGAACACTGAAGTCAGTCAAACAGCGTTCCAGGGATATGAATAACTGTCTTAGTTCCAGCAACGAATTAATCAGAAGATATTAACTGTAAGAGGAAAGATAATGAAGTTTCCACTTTTCTCGGTAAATTATTGCAGGAGAATGAATGACTTAAGCCTAAAGGCACAAAAAGAGACTGCACAAAAGGAAGAAGCCCAGTCGCCAAGCACCACGGACTAAAAACTAAGTGGGTTCTATGTGTGACCTGTTACTTGCTTGTTTGTGTTGACAGAAAAATGGAATATATTCATCATTCCTACTATTCTCGCGGATGATGTGATAGCTGTTTAAGGGACAAAGACCTTTAAACTGTGATCTCAAAGTGCGTTGCTGCAATACTAGAGCTGTAGCATTTGTGTTGCGGACCATGTCGAAAATTGCATTCAAATTGAGCCATATTGTTAGCAGAAGAAAAAATCTTCAGACATCGGAGATTCTCAGTTCTTTGCATCAATAAAACACAGATTCTAAATACTTATCTAACAATGAAATTTGCAAATTGGCACAACATGACCAAATACAAAGATGCGGAAACTAAAGGTTCTTGTAATTGTAGATGCACGTGCGTTGCTCACGAATGGTTAAATTATTTGCTGTTAAATCATCGATACGTAACATCGCTCGTCAATTGTTTCGGTAACATTGCGTGTATTACTTACGCAGATTATTAAATAGTATTATGTTTATATCTAGTTCCGTGGAAGTAGGAAGTTTTTTGGAGATGTTATTGTGCAAATTCAATATTAAAAGAATATATCATGTAGTAGCTTCTGCCAGCATTCCTGTGGGATAAAAGTATCCTATGTGTTATACCAGATTAGGTACATTTATTACTATCTATGACTTTCAGAATTACTATGTTTATTTCTCTTACCTTTCTTCATTCTCCGGAGCGCGTCAGGGACGGCCATTTTGAGACACTCGTTTAGTTTGGAGTCCTTCTGCCGACATCTTGTGAAATCTTCCGCTGTAACAATACAAATATTTGGTTAAACTCATAATAATATCAAGATCTACCCAATTGCCCTCCCCTTCCCCAATCTCCCCAATTCCTGAATCTCCAACGATCCTCAAAATCCTAATCCCAAAAGGCCGGTAATGCTCCTAAAACGCCTCTAGTGCTCCAGGTGTCCATTGGCGACGCTGATTGCTTACCATCAGGTGATCCGTTTACCGGCTTATGCCATAAAAAATATTTATAATATTTATCAACTAAGCATTTACATGTTTCAGTCATTAAATACATTCCATGTTAGATAACAACCTACATGCTTTTAATTAACTTTTTAAATGCACCGATATGAGACAATAGAAAATACATTGTGTCTTGTGTGGATCACGTCTTAGACACACGAAAGGTTAAAACTGAATAAGGAATTAGAAAGAGGAAAATATGAATTGAAGTGTGTCGTGGTGGCCCGGAGGTTTAAGACTTCTTCGTCTTCTCACGCATGAGCGTGCAGGTTCGAAACCTACCAACAGCAAGTACCAATGTGACTTTTTCCGAGTGATATGTACTTTCTAAGATTATTTAGACATCACTGACAAACGGTGAAGGAATCACATCGTGAGGAAACCTGGACTTATAATTTCTAATTATAAGTTTGAAATCGCCAACCCGCATTGAGCAAGCGTGGTGATTAATGCTCAAACCTTCTCCGTGTGAGAAGAGGCTTTGCTTAGCAGTGGGCATTTATAGGCTGTTGACGATGATGATGATGAAATATGAATTCCAACTGTGACTTAAAACCAATCGAGCTCGAGAAGTTTACTATCTAACACTTCAGCTTAACATTGATAAATATTATGTTAATCATATTTATAACAAAAACCAAACAAATATTTATTTATTCGTAAATATTAGCCAACAATTATGGAATAATTCCGGCGGGCGGCGTATTGTTTGCCAACTACCGACCACTGCTGACCTTGTACTGAATGTATGGCTTGCAGATGTGACAATAAACAGGCAATCAACAGAAATACCAGTTTGACCAGTCTTTTAAACTTAAGCCGTAAACTGTTGTCGGTCAAGGTAAATTTCATACGGTCGTGAATGTGAAAGAAATTGTGGAATTTTCTCGTATGATTGTGTCATCAGTTTGATTTATAAAAATTGTAACAGAATGTTGATGGAGATAGAATCTAAGATTAATTTTGTACGTTAAAACGTGTTTAGGAAGACGTTCGAAGATTTTTTATATTCTCAATTTGTCATTTTAAAGGTAACATCTATTTTTTGTCAGTTATTTAATGTAACAGGGCCTGGGGCATGTGTTTTACTAGAAATAGAGCATTACAATATTGCAAATTTTAGGAAATCACCAACGAGGAATTGCATCTTAGTACCTATGTGCACTCAATATCAATCATATGAAGTTACCAATTTATACTTGCATGCATGTATATAAGTACTCATGTATGTAATTCAAAAGGCATTGTGTTCCATGTTCATTGCATTGGATATCTTTTAAGGAGCTAACGATCTATTTTGAGAAGCTGATTGTATTCCTAATGTTGACATGGAGTTTCTAGCTCGTTCTTTTTCAAAGAAATCTACGAATGAGCAAACAGCTTTACTTTTAATTTTTTGTTGACGTTAATAAATGCTTCCCTGGCTGGTCTAATTGATGGCAAAAACCGGTAAACGAGCGGACAAACCACCTGGAACACCAGAGGCGTTACAAGTGCGTTACCGGCCTTTTGGGGATTAGGAGTATGAGGATCGTTGGGGATTCAGGGATTAGGGAGGTAAGGGAAGGGGAGTGGATAATTGGGCCTACGGTAACCTCGCTTACACGACGAATAAAACACAGCTGTTACTTTACATCGGTTTTATGTGAGGTCGTGGTATCACTTAAATGATTTTGACAGTGACTTAAAAAATTGAATTAAAGTAAAAATTATTATGTCTATGTATGTTTAAGTGCACTTCTGCTAACAATAGCTAATTTCAACTGATATTCTTGTGTCTACAAGATCGACGAAGCAAACCACAAATATGGTAAAGTGGACCTTCTGTCCTTACCTCTACATTGGCGCAGCAATTCGTGTCATCTGACATACCTACGAAATGCAGCCTCCGACGGTTGTGCAACTAGTCGTAACGACTGCAACTGCTAGTTACGTGCAACTACAACTGACAGCGATATAATTGTATACTAAATTAAAAGTAGGGGTACCTCACACAGAGATTAAGTTTAGTGTACTAAGATATAAGTTCATTTATTAGATACGATTGCATCCGCGTAGGATATAATTCATGATAAAATGTATCTTATCATCTAAGTCAGCCCATACCAAATTCATTGAAATCAGTTCTATAATTTCAGTGTGATTGACGGAAAAGCATTCAAACATACAAACTTTCATATTTATAATTTTAGGGCTGGACCTTCATATGTGTAGCATGTCTATGAATGACGTTTTGCCTAATGAACAAATAAAATTAATATTATGATTGTGAAAGGATGTTTGCCTGTCTTTCTTTCTTTCAAAGGAGCTTTCATAAGGTATACTCTCGATTGGTCAGATTATAATTCAGGATTTTAATTAAAGATCTGTATTAGTACGGACTGCAATTATAATCGACGAATCGTCTCCACTTTTTGGTTCTAATCATAATTATTAATAAATTTTGATGGTGCAGTTGGCGCGGTGGCTGGGTGCCGTGCAACGTGTCACGGTTTCGATTCCCGCACGGACCAACTTTTTGTGTGATCTACAGATTGTTGTTCCGGGCCTGGGCGTCATGTGTATTATAAGATTGTATGTTTGTAAACGCACCCACGACATAGGAGAAAATCTAACTGTGGAATAATGTTTATCTTAAAAAAAGCGAAAAACTCCATCTAGATTTCTGCTAATAATAGCAGATTATAATAATTCTAGAATAATGTAAATATATTTTTATAACAGTTACACAGTCTAGCCAAGCTTTATTGTGCTTTAATGCAACGTGTTGAGAATACAAATATTAGCAATTAACTACATTGGTATGAGGTGCTCGTGGATAAGTTATAGCTGGACAGACCACACTGAAGGTTAAGCTACATCTGTCTGTGGTAGGTCAGTGAGTGGATGGCCATTCGGAAGTTCTCGAAACTTCTTCGTAACTAGGAGAACATCTTTATATATACAATTCTTCTTTGAGTGTGTATGTCACTGAATTTCTCTCAAACGACTGGACCGATTTTGATGTTTTTTTTTTTTGTGTGTGTTCAAGGGGATCTGGGAATGGTTTAGATTCACAAATCAGCCCGGCAGATGGCGCTGCAGTATCGACTGCAGCGCCACCTGCTAGCTATCGATCTAGGTTATTTATCTATAGGTACCGATTATTATATTAAATGCAGGACAACGTCTGTCGGGGCCGTTAGTTTAGTATAAGTTACTTAAGTAATTCTAAATTTAATTAATTTACATATTTATTTGTATTTCTTTGTAGAGAAACATTACGTTGCTTAGTTCTTTAATTGTAGTGGTTAAAAAACCGAACCATAATATCTCTTAAAATATCTCAGGAGTGTTCAAGATTAACTGGAAAAGGTGATTTTCTGGTATCAAAATGATTAAACAACTGACAGAAAATGCACAACTGAACTAAGGATCATAAAACGCTAAAGGCACAGTGGGGCAAAATACAGAAATGTCGTGGTGATTTGGAGGTCTAAGAAGCCCGCTTTTCATCCATGAAGGTGCGGATTCAAAACCTATCAACAACAAGTACCAATGTGACTTATCCAAGTTACATGTACATTCTGAGATTATTTAGACATCACTGACAAATGGTAAGGGAAAACATCGTGAGGAAACCTATGCCTTTAGCCAAACACCACTTTAGCGCTTGTCTACAGAGAGAGTAGAAATCAAAATGTATGGGGATGACACTGACAAGTGTAAAAATTTTCATCAATTCCATATAATTTAATTTTCTATTCTACATATAGACAAGCGCTAAATGGCATTTGGCTACAGCTGCTGGGCTTATAATTATAAGTTTGAAATCGTCAACCCGCATTGAGCAAGCGTGGTGATTAATGCTCAAACTATCTCTGTGTGCGAAGAGGCCTTTGGTCAGCAGTGGCCAGTTATAGGCTGATGATGATGTAATAGTACAGTATCCCAGGCAATGTAAGTGACTTTTCACACGTTCCATTGGTCTGCTAGTCGTTGCCAAGTAACCAAAAGAAAACGTACTTACATTAGAACGTGCCGAAACAATTACAATACTAATTTCGTACTACAAAACAAAACTGACTGCCTCGTTGGCCGAGTGGTCGCAAGTGGGACTGCCGGATCGGGCAAAGTACTTCTGGGTTTAAAAAAAATATATATCTAGGTACTGTATTTGTTTAATAGACTAATCTAATATTATATTCTCAGTAGTAGCACGGAGTCTGGAAATGTTCCCGGTATATAGCATTACATGGAACTCATAACATAAATAGTGAAATGTGGATGTTACATTGTACAGTGACATTAAATGCCGTAATGGGCATCTCTGCCTACTCCTTCGGAGATAAAAGGCATGATGTTATACTATGTTATTCGTTTAAATATAAAAAAGCAGCATATACAAGAACATTTTATAATCGTTAATCGTGAATCCGTTTCCGTTCACAATGTATTAAACCTAGGCGTCTCCAATCGTTGTCATTCAATCGCAACGGTAGCCACCTCGTAATGCAACCGTAACAATAATTGCACGTGCAGTTACGTTGCGTTACGTGGTGACTCGGAGCACAACAACCGCAGATACGGTCAAGGGCGAACGCTCATATGGAGACTTAACATGTTTGTGAAGTTAATATCAATATTTTTACATCCACTGTTCATTAAGTTAATTGCCTCATTGGCCTAGTGGTCGCAAGTGCGACTGCCGGGCAAGGTGTCTCGGGTTCGATTTCTTGGTCGTACAAAGTATTAGTAGGTTTTTTTTTAATTCTCAGATCATACCTCTACATATCTCATCTACATATCTCTATTATAAAACTATATTTAAACCAATATTAACATTATAAATATGAAAAACTAAAATATTTACACCTTAGAAAACTAATAAAATGTTAGCTTAAGGCATAAAAAGCTTTCGTTATCGTGAGGTAGGGTGCCCAAAAGACTGGTAGCATTGCCACGTTGAATGGCAATGCTTAACCTTTGCCCAAGGTAGTAGCCAGCCCTTTGATCACCTGAAGTGTTAACCATTCTCTTTACAATATCTTTTTAAAGAAGATGTGCACTTGGGTCCCACGGCCCTAAAGTTAAACTCACCCTTAATTATCCCTATAAAGGGATAGTTAAATTGTCACAACTTTCAGCTTATAAACTTGTGATCTACATCAGTAATCATAATTATTGACACAATACCGGAATTGACACAGTTCACATTAATAAAAAAATCAAACCAAAAACTTGATGAAAGGCCAAGGTTGCTACCAAGTGGAGAAAGAATTGGACATTGCTGTTGTATGGAGCCATCGCCGTTAGAGATGTGCTAATCACTTTTATCACGTGTAGAAGACACGTGAGTTTGTCTTTCTTTATAATAGACTTATCATAAGTGAATTATGATCAATTAATATGTGGTTTATTGTGAATTATAAAAGTAATCTTAACATTTCCTTCTTCTTTACCATGTTCGTAAGCTGAACTCCATAGTCCTAACCTGTCGCACTTTTAATTCTTCAGACTTAAAACTAAAACGGTTTGCTAATAAAAGCAGTGTACGATTAATTCATACCAGCTCTTTCATCTTATTTCTCAACCGAATCGTTACAAACCAGCGGGCGTTCCTCAAGGCACCACGCCGGGTCCACTCACATTATCTCAAGCACATTGCAGTCAAGATTACCACAATTTCATGATGATCGCAGGCATTACAGGACTTTTTATGTGACGCGAGCGAAGCCGCGGATAAAAGCTAGTAGATAATAAATAATTATTTAAGAATCGAAATCCCTTACTTTATAGAATGCTTGTGACATATAATCACTCAGATAATGAAAAAAAAATATCAGACACAATAGTTTTCGCCAAATCTCTAAACTCCTAACAAATGATCCAAAATCCTTCCACTCGTACAGGTCAAGGCACACACACATACAGGCTGAGTATTGCATGTAAATAGTTGCATTGGATCTACATCATTGGTATGCGTACTCGCACACACGTGACCTTGAGGACAGTTTGTGCTGACCCCGCGCGATTATTGCTTCTATGTGACTATGGACCACACAGGCTCGTCGGTTAAATAAGGAAGTAATTGTGTTTAGGAAAATTGGAGATTGCGCAAGGCTTTGGTGAGGTGTTAGGTGGTGTCTTGTTGTTTATAAATGGGCGTAAATGAGATTCTCTATATCCGATCTTTAGTCTAATAATATCAGATATTCGAGACTCGACCAAATAGGACACTCGCTTTAAAACTGAAAAACTAACGAATATTTATTTCATTTATAATAATCATTCCAATGAGTCTGTTTGTCAGTATCGTGGTGGCTCGGAGGTTGAGACGCTCGCTTCTCATGCATGAGTGTGCGGGTTCGGAACCTACCAACGGCACCAATGTGACTGTTTCCGAGTTACATGTACTTTCTAAGATTATTTAGACACCACTGACAAACGGTGAAGGAAAACATCGTTAGGAAACCTGGACTTATAAGTTTGAAATTGCCAACCCGCACTGAGCAAGCGCGGTGATTAATGCTGAAAACTTCTTCGTGAGAGAAGAGGCTTTACTCAGCATTGATCACTATTGATGTGTATTGTCAGAAAAGCAACTTTTGCAAAGGATTACCACTGCAATTACTCGGTAATGTCATTAAACTACTTATGCATGGAAGTTCTCAATTATCCTTCTCCATAAATGATTTTTTTTTATTCTATTTATGTATTTTGGAGTTTTTATCCACATGGATACGCCAACCCCATCGTACCCTCATAGTTTTAATTACACTAGCTTTAGTAATAATATAACTAAATTAATTTATTGAAAGAAAATCATCAATTAGGTGTTTTTGATAATCTACTTAATCTTACTGCTACTTAGATTTAGGACTGGTCAAAACTCCATAGATGAACACTTAAGAACGAGGTGGCTCAACTAATGAACAGATCCTACGATAACGTTTAAAAGTTTAGTTATAAGTCAATTAATTGAAATAAATCACTTCTGCTTAGATGAAACAAAGTAATTAATGAGTTTATTCACTTTCATTACTGAAAACAACTCTAAAATGAGGAAACATCTCAAAAGCCTGGTCCACCGTTTGATTTCGTCCCTTTCATTGCGCCTCAGTAAAAGTGAAAGTATTTTGTAAGTGAACATAAACCTCAGATAAGTGATACCTAGGTGGGTATTACTTACAGGCTGGGCTTACTCTTTATATAACTTAATTTCATGCTTGTTGTTCTCGACAAGAGTAAGACTACCTACTAACAAAGAAACATTTGATGTCAAAGTCTAAAGCATTTAATTATATCCTAATTAATCTATTGAAGGATGCTTTTGAAATGAAGCCAGTATCCCACTATTCTTATTTAAACTAGATTTCAATTTCAGAAGCCCCCAATTCACCCCCAAAGAATTAATACCTCATCATCATCTTTTCTACGTTTCTTCCATTTTTGCCTAATAAACGTCATCCTATAGCTTTTTTTTTAACTAATCCAGAAAAGCTCCACATATTTGAATTCTCAACGAGATTCTTAACCAATTGTGGTTTTTCCCGAATAAGGTATAATAATATTAATTACTTGTATATCATCTCAATTGCAATTTTCTTTACAAATTTGATATCGAAAACTTTTATTCTTCGTTGCTAGAACAACCAATTGAACATTTAAAACCTTATTTGTATTATAGCTTTCGTGAGACACACTAAACAGTAGCAGCGCGACAGTCGCCTGAATGCTGCTCATGAATATGAGCCTCTAGTATGGCTTAAAAACTAGTCGAGTTCCTCGTCAAATAATTACGTGAGTAAGCCGAAAACATACAAATATATTCAAAACCTTACGGTTAACAGCCGTCAGTTACACTACCAACTACTGAATCACCAAAATATTTACACAGTGAAAGCCTCCAATCCACCGATCCGCAGTAAGTCGACCGAGAGACCGCAGACCTGCGCGTACGCATAAACACGGAAACAACTATTACATGATCGCTAACGTAAGTATACTATTTAATAATACTAGTTATAACGTGGTTACATTACTTGTAACGTTATTTGATTATGTTATTAATTGTGAGTTATTTAATATAGGTAATTAACATAACATAACATCACGCCTTTTATCCCCGAAGGGGTAAGCAGAGGTGCCCATTACAGCACTTAATGCCACTGTACAATGTAACACCCACTTTCAACAATTTATGTTATGAGTCCCATGTAATAGGGGGTGAGCCTATTGCCAAATACCGGGCACAATTCCAAACTCCGTGCAACTACTGAGATTTTTTTTAAAAACCCAGTAATGCAGTGCCCGTCCCGGGAATCGGACCCGATACCCCTTGCCCGGGAATCGCACTTGTGACTACTCGGTCAATGAGGCAATATTTTAATATAATTCTTCTCCTTTTTATGGTGCCACTTCATTCTTGAAGGTTGGGTGTCAGCTTTTTGAATCAGTCCTTGTTATTGGCCATGCGGAAATGTTGTTCCACGGAGCTGATACCGGTCTACTCCCAGATATTGCGCAGCCAAGACTTATTTTTCCTTCGTCCAGCACTTGCGAGTAACATAATGTTATATTTTTTAATCCCCCAAAGAGGTGGGTGCTGGGTAAGTAGTTTCTATCTATATAAATAAAAAAGAATTTTTAAATATTTGGGGATTGAGGGATTGGGGAGATTGGGGAAGGGGAGGGTATTGGGCCTCCGGTAACCTCACTCGCACGACAAAACACAACGCAAGTGTTGCTTCACGTCGGTTTTCTGTGAGACCGTGGTATCACTCCGGTCGAGCCGGCCCATCCGTGCCGAAGCATGGCTCTCACAAACTTGACTTGATTGAAAATAATATGAGAATTTTGATTTCAGAAATGTTAAATGTGACTTCATAACATGCTTACTGAAAAATAGTTATACTATACATATTATTTGATCTCTATTTTCAAGCTACTATTATTATTTGATGGCATCTTCGACACTCTCAAAGTCAACTTATCAACACCCTTAGTTTATAATTAGATGTTTGTAAATATCATATCGAAAGTCTATATCTGTATATAATACTTACTACATAGTTCGAATAGGGTCGAGATTACGACGTCTCCCTCGCATAGCCTCTTTAGCTCAGTGGTAGAGCACTGGTCTCGTAAACCAGGGGTCGTGAGTTCAATCCTCACAGGAGGCAAAACTACGTAGAATAGTACTTTCATTTTGATCATTTTTCGTGATTTGTTTAAGTTTAAAAATTCTATGTTTCATTGTTATTTTAAGTCGCTAATGATTGAATTTAAAGTAATTTGTTTTCATATTATGGTGGTCTAAATAACACAATGAAGGTTTTGTTTTACATACATTTGTCTGTAATTATATTAATTAGGTATACAATTGAACTAATTACATAAAATAAATGAGGATAGACTTACCCTTGATACCATTTTATTACCTTACTATCTCCTTTACTTGTTTTAATTTTATTATTTTTCTAATAAATATTTAGGAAATGAGCTAAAACTATGCCAAGGATTATTAAATCATTTTATAATAATTGAAAAACATGTATTTAATGAAAAACATGTTTGTTATTTCATAGCTAAAAGACTAGCGATTTGAATGTATATTAAACTGTCAAACACCAAGCGGTCACCGGTGACCGCGACCTATTGTTCTTTAATTGTGTCTATAAAACCGGTACTCGACGAGTTAATATTGATACAAATATATAGAACAACTGAGATAATTATTTTATTTATGTAAGTATTTTTTTATGGGATAAACCGGTAAACGAGCAGGGTGATCACCTGATGGTAAGCAATTGGCGTCGCCCATGGACACTTGGAACACCAGAGGCGTTATAAGTGCGTTACCGGCCTTTTGGGATTAAGGATTTGAGCATTGTTGGGGATTTAAGTTTAGAATTTATATTCCAAAAACGTAATTCAGTAAATCTAGCACAATTGTATTTTCATTCAGTCTGAAAAAATTACATAATAATGTTATGTTATCCGAATTGAAACTCAATCATTAAAATAAAAATGAAGCCATGTCATACATTATTAATAATTATTTTTCATATAACCTTTTGCTCCTTAAGAATAATTTAAAACGGGATTCTATAGTTTGTACTAATTCTATTGTGCTTCTAAACAAGATATATTTATCTGTAATACAATGCAAACTTTGCCATGCATTGCAGTTAATGTTTTAATGATGTAATTTTGATCAAAGATTTTTGGTATAATCATAAGTTGACAATAGTGTAATTAAATATTATTAGTTGACACTTTAGGTGATCGAAGGGCTGGCTACTAATTTGGACAAATGTTAAGCATTGCCATCCAACGTGGCAATGCTGCCAGTCTTTTGGGCACCCTTCCTCACGACTGCGATAAGGATATTTTTTTCGACGCCGTAAGATATTTTTTTCTTTTTCTTGTTATTTTTTATTTAATTTTCTCTATTAGAATTAGTGTATTTTAAGATGTAGATACGCAATTACATTATCTTACTATTTAAAAGTAATATTTATTATGTATTTTATATACGAGTAATTCAATCAGATGTCTATTACACATAAATAAATATTAAAATGTAAATAGTATTACTGAAAAATATGTGTAGGTCGAACTTTACTGAAACCTGCTGAAATATCTCTCCATACATTAATAGGGTAGTGTAATTAATTTCAGTTTCCCGAAGCCTCTTTAGCTCAGTGGTAGAGCACTGGTCTTGTAAACCAGGGGTCGTGAGTTCAATCCTCACAAGAGGCAGTTTACATTCTTACTTCATAACTGATTTTCGTTAGTTATAGATGTTTTTTGGAATATTTTTATCAATTTGTTCAGCTTTTTCGGTATATTTTGAGTTAGTTTAAATATCTTTGGTGTAAAACAAGTATCTACTTTTTGTTTAGTGTAAATAATACAGTATTAAATAATAATTTACTGACTACCTCGTTAGTTGAGTGGTCGCCAGTGCGACTGCCGGGTAAGGGGTCTCGAGTTCGATTCCCTGGTCGGGCAAAATACTATTGGTATAAAAAAATCAGTAGTAGTACGGAGTCTGGAATTGTGCCCGGTATTTGACTTTAGACTCACCCCCTATTAAATGGGACTCAAAATATAAATAGTGAAAAGTGAGTGTTACATTGTACATTGGCATTATGTGCCGTAATGTAAACCTCTGCCCACCACTTCGGGGGATAAAAGGCGTGATGTTATGTTATGTGTAAATAATAAACGTGGGGAGAGGAAGAGATGGATAAGTACATAAATAGAATACACTTGACATGACACCATCCTACTTCTTCCAGCGGGTGTGAAATGAATGTGCCCGAGCAGCTACTCATTTATTTGACAGACACTAGGTGCAGCGCATGGATCTATTCCACTGTCGTCTCCAGCCAGCCTACCAGGTGTCGAGATTATAAGAAGAGGAGTCGTCTATATTCTAAAAGAGTAACGAATGGAGTTTCTTGCTCGATACTTTTCCACTCGAATCTAGTATTCGGAATGAGCGCCTAGCTTCACTGACGGACACACTGACAGACTATTATTATAGTTTGTATTTGTTGACGTTTCAAAAGTACCAAATTATGGTTTAATAGAAATAAATGGTTTTGAGTTTGAGTTCATTTATAAGGGGGCCCATAATAAAAAGCTGGCGAGAAATGTTGTGGTGTTATTCTTATTATTATTTATTTGTTTATTGAAAGGCATGACATAATGTTAATAATAATAAAAACGTAACTAACGATATTTTAAAGTAAATTTTTCATCATTAACAGCCTATAAATGCCCACTGCTAAGCAAAGCCTCTTCTCTCAAAAAGGTTTGAGTATTAATCACCACGCTTGCTCTATACAGGTTGACGATTTCAAACTTATAATTAGAAATTATAAGCCCAGGTTTCCTCATGATTCATTCGTTGACTATTTGTCAGTGGTGTCTTTTTTTTTTTTTTTTTTTTTTTAAGGGGGGAAAATCATCGAATGACTGCTCCCGCCTGGGTGAGGCGGAAGGGAGTGTCAGACTCTTACTGACTAAAAACCACCCCGTTCCTTCTCCTGCACGTCGAGCCGGAGCCCCGGTTACCCGTTAGGTTCTCCGCGACTCCGAATCGGCATCGGCCCTATTGGGCCCCATCTGTGGTGGTCTGATGGCTCTTTGAGGCGCGCGCGGAACGCGACGCGCCGTACGCTCGGGTCTGTTTCTGGTCGGACGGGGAGCCACCCATGCTCGCCGTCCGCAGGCCCGCGCTTACGGTGGCCGGAGATCGTCCCGCGATCCCCGACGCCCGGTGTGTCCTTCGCGATGGCTGGGTTGCGAGGAGGCAGCGCTTCGCTGCCTCACGCGTCCCGCCTCCTCCTTAGCTAGCATGACTGCTTCGCAAAAGGAGGAGACGGCATCCCAGTCCCCCTCGCTCCGCATCATGGCCTGCACTAGGCCCGGACGCGAGAGGTCGCCATCGCCGATCACTTCCCTGAGGGCACGGCGGTGCTCAGCCCACGCAGGGCATTCCGCTACGGTGTGTTCCACCGTGTCCTCAGGGCGGTAGTCAGTGGTGTCTAGATAATCTTAGAAAGTAAATAACTTGGAAAAAGTCACATTGGTACTTGCTGTTGGTAGGTTTCGAAGCTGCACCCTCATGCATTAGAAGAAAGCGTTTTAAACCTCCGTACCACCACGACAGTAAATTTTAAATACATTTTTAAACAACTGGTTACATGATCATGAATGTCATGGCGAGACGCGGAATACTAACTACAAAAAGAGATTGTCGAATCAAAAAAGAAATAAATATAATGAAGGTTTACGTAAACTGAAGAGATTTCGGTCCGAATAGAAAAAATCTGTTGAGATAAATAACGGAAAGTAATGTATGTACCCGTACCTATCTATCTCTATTTAAATTAATCTTGTAAAATGTTTCAAATACAATTTTCTGTTAATATTGTATTGTAATCGGATAATTATTATATACTTGTTATGTTAGACAACTTAAATGTAAAAAGTATAACAAATGTAAAAAATATAATAGATAACACCGTTACATTATAAGCATTTTTTTGAACTTAACTGACTGTGACGAACGGAATAAACGCATAACTATTAAACAGTAAAAGAGTGCGGTAATAGTAAAAAAAAACAAAAAAAACTTACGTAAACTGTGACCACTATCGGCTCCCACGAAACTCGTCAAAAATACCACAAGCAATAATGAATGATACATTTTTATTTTTATTTTTTCTTATAGATTTTTTTATTATTTTTTTTCACTTTCTGCAACACATTCGCGGTTTCCAAACGAAAGTGACAGTTCACGCGCATGCGCGGTGGAGCAACTGAGGCGCGCGCGAACCACCCGCCATATTTATTTGCGAGCGCGGGAAACATGTCGAAATATGATTGCTTCTCAATAATTGTTGTAATTTTCCATGGTGGATGAATACCTATAAACACAAAATCTTAAGGATTTGCCTCTTGACATACAAGTCTTAATGATTGCAGTATTGGCAAGGAACACGGCTCAGAGTTTTGTAGTAATATTTTTCTCGAATGTAGATTTATGTTAAACATTCTAGCACAATCGCGGATTTACTCGAAATATTGACCGGCCATGAATTATTCATATGTCAACAAGCGGTTTGTCAAAAGATGCTGCAATTTCTGGCAATAATTTATTATAATAACTATATGAATAAATAAAATACACGTGACGAATTGACAATTCATGCAATGATCTGTATCAATGTTTTCCGATGGTGAACCATGTCGGATAGTATTAAACATGCTCATTATTAAAAGACCTAATAAATCTTCATTTAAAAAGTATTTCTACAATTTAAGTTTTAATTAAACAGGTAATTGGGAAAAACAAAGTTTATTGAGAATAAAATAAATATACAGCGAATTCTGTATTATAGAAGAAAACAAAAATATCTTTGCATCACATCCCAAAATTCCGCTCCTAAAGTTCATAATACCATGGAACAATATCAATTTGTAGCAGCCAATAAACAACAAGCAGAACTTGGAAATTTTTCTAATTATAATAATGTCATCACTTTTGATCTCTTGGTACGTGAAGTTGCGACTCTCCTGGTATTCCTGGTAGCCTTTCTGATATTTCAATGCTAAAGAATTGACTGGTAAATTTCTTCTGAAAATGGAATTCCCATTAGCAGACAGCTTCACTACTCCAAAGTAAACGTACTCATTGT